CTGGATTTTGATTGATTAATGCATTTTAAGATTTTGAAACCAACTGCATTAAACAGATTCCTGAGTTTTTTCTGGGAAATTGGGACCCAGCTCACAAATTACTGTGCTCAGATATGAATCATAGTCCTTAACCAAAATCCCAATGTGAAAATAAGGATTTTTTAAATTAGGAAAGACGGCTTCATATTTACTTTAGATAACAATAAATCACATAATAAGCACATAATTAAAGTCTGCTGTTTTTCCTGTTATCAAGTCATTTCCTCACATCAACCAGCACAAAGGCCAAAGCAAACAAAGTGAATATAGAAAGACTGCAAAGGCAAACAGTTCTTTGTTTTCAGATGCTGTTGGTGTTGACGGCTGAAAATTTCACTGAAGAAAAGGATGGGATTCTTCCAATCCAACTGAAAAACATTTCAATCAATCAGCATTACTTCAATCTGGGGGGATTGGGTTGCCAATAATCCATTGTACAGTAAAGTACTGTATTGTACTAATCTGTACAGTACTTGTAGAAAAAGTGTATCTCAGGTGTTTTTTTTTTGTCAATCAGATACATGTTTAAAAATGTGCCACACATGTGGCCTGAAATTCAATAAGATGTTTTATGAATTATTTTACACATCATTATATGCATCCAAAATTGCTTACTTGTCTTCTTTTGCACTTTTAAAAGTTCAAGATTTGAAATTTGATCATTTTCCTAGTCACATTTCAAAATTCCATTCTTTGATCCAATGGAAAATTTTCAGAAATAATTCAATTTTAAATGCTGTTACTGGGATGTAACTGTAATACTGTTTGCTTATTGTCAGGCTTTTTGAATTACTAACAGGCAATCCTGAAATCTAGAAAATATTGAAGATGTTTCAAACTTTTTTGTAAACAATGTCTGGAAGTTCATGATGAGTGACATGACCATATTCCAGAGGAGAAGGCAAGTTTTGACCCCGGAACTTTTTTTTGTGAAGATCAATGTGAAACTTATCTTAAAATGTGAACTGCTGGGTAAAAAAAAAAACCTTAAAATTTCCCTAAAACCATGCCTAGTTGAACAGTCCTATGGAAGCCACAGGCTGAGATTTATTCTTTGACCTTCAATCCTTTTTTCAATTTGTACATGGTCATCTTAACAGTACATGGGTCAATTTCCAATTTTCTGTTATGCTGTCTTTCAAAACAACTTTGAGAGAAAACTCCTCTCTGGAAACAATTTCAAATATTGACATCATGAGCTTAATGGAAAGACTCAAAATGAAGGTTTCTGTATATTATGGCTTGATTAATTTTGATTCCTTGTAACTACATGACCAAAAGTATCATCAAAAGAAAACCTTGAGATAGAATTTACATGACCTTGTTGCAGTATTTCAATAAAAAAAAACAAGTTTTACAAGGGTTTGCATAAATCTTGCACAGCATTTGGGAGGCATTTTAGTTCCTGCATGCATATTTTTCCTGATTTCTGGACAGATCTAGAAAAAATCATGATGGTAATATGACACAGTATGAAGAAAAACACAAGAATTACTTCTGTGCCAAACTGACAACGGTTGGAACTGACAAAGGAATTGTGAAAAAAGGCTTAGTAATGAAGAAAGCAAAACATGGGCAATCAGCTAGTTTTCAGCCAAGAACTTGAGTATACAGCATACACCTAGGTCTTTTTAAAAAGAAGAATATTTTGTATAATTTGATGGCAAAAAGATTACAAAATTCACCAGAAACACTGAAATTACTGCACAAGTGAATAAAAAAATGTTTGCACCAATCCAGCAAATCTGAACACAATTATACAATACAATATAGAAAAGAATGAAGAGAGAGAGTAGTGATGAGCATACTGTATAAAGAGAAGAAGTGTGAAGAATGTTTTTTATTTAAATAAAAGTTGATCAAGTTCAGACAGGAGGAAAAGCATTCACTGGGTTTCTTCAGAGCATTCTCTGCACAACATCAACTGCAAAAATTCCTCTCTCAGACTTGGTATATGCACCAGACATTTCATTCTATAAAATCTAGTCACTATAGTACAATTGACAGGCACTCTTGAAACTTGTCAAATCTCAACATTGGTACATGGTTAGTCTTACATCTGGCAGGAAATTGAAAGGTTTTTCATGGTACTATAGATTTTCATTTTGCTGTTCCATTAAGGCACTGGCCAGCTTCGTCACTTTATTTTTCATTACCTTTAGATGCAGTTGAGTTTTCATATTGTGATGATTAGAGTGCAATCTTGAGGAAAAAACAGAATCCAAGCGAATTGTCTCAAGATTGGAAATAAAGATTAATTTCCTTCAGGAGAAAAGTATAAAAATCAAATTCAATCCAATGAAAAATTCTGATTAAAAAAAAAATTCCGAATACCTGCTTCCGTCCAAAATGATCATTTTTCAAAATTCCCTGGTTAAATTTCTGAATATTTGGGAATGATATTGCGCCATGTCGATAATCTCTTTCCCCTTTTTGCATTGCTATCGTCACAGTACTACAGTTATGGTCGAATCACTGTGACGACATCTTCAATGGTTATGTGGAAAGACAAACAACGAAACTCAATATTTATGGCTGTTTTTTTTTGTTAAATTGAGGTTTGAAAATCAGGATCTTCACATTTATTGTGTGATCTGCGTCAGACAGAGGTTAAGGTCGTGTATAATATGATGACTGTTTTTTTTGTGATGAGTAACCATGAATCTGCGCTAATCGAGGCAATCTGTGGGGTTCCATAAAAAAGGGAACCAGACGGATTCCCTGGTTAAGAGGTTTTTGTACCGAAATAAAAACTGTCCTCGAGATAACACACAGAACACGTAGGTCAACAACCACAAAAACACCGTCTCTACGTCTTTTGGATTCTTAATGGGAGGTCCACTTAATAAAAATTTTAGAATTAACAGTGTTCCAACCCCAACCTTCCCAATAAATAAATGAGATTATTGGTGGATTTCGTGCAGTGCTCCCCAACCCATGGTCCAAGGACTGATGCTGGTCAACAGATATTTTTTTGTGGGTCCATGGAAAAATTTATGTTGCATAATAAATTCATCAGAAGTAGCAATGAAGTCTATTATCTGTATCTGAAATTTTGGAAAGATAATGACAGGTGAAATGATCTGATGAAAAGATTAAAGTTGGCATTTCTGCTAATAAAGCCTCAGAGAAACTTTCATCTACTGGAAGGAATTGTTTAAATATGTCATCCTGAGAAACCTTTTGTTCAAGCCCACCTGTCTAATTTGTGAAGATATTCCTGTTTTCGACGAGGTAACCTAGAATTGAATTAAAAACGTTTTTCTGTTGTGAAAAAATTATGGACAACATTTCAACAAGTTTGTTTGAAAAAATCAGACGTTTTTAACGTACTTTGAAACGGTCAGGCCAGAATTTTTTTTTTTAATTTGCTGGACCACAAAAAATGTCATGGAAATTTGCTGGTCCACCCAAAAAGATTGGGAAACACTGGTTTAGAGTAAAGGTGGTGCCTTGCAGTTTAACCTCTTGCAATTCAACTGCCTCACAATTTGACAGTCAACTTTTCTTGGAGGTCAACTCACAATTTGACCTCCTCACCAAAATTTTACCGGTTTTAGCCTCTTTTCTAGTGTTTTTGTGCTGTTTCCCCTTCATTTAACTGTCTTGGGATTTTACTGTTTTGCAATTTGACCCCTGTCAGCAACAGATTAGGGTCAGATTGCAGCACAACCTGTATTGGCAACACGCTACTCTAGTGCAGTTCTGTATACAGTACAGTGAGTTCTCAAGGAATGAAACCCAAAGTATTTCTTATCAATGGAAGGATTTGGAGTAGGAACTTTTTAAAAATGTAGCACAGAAATTGAGTTTGTAAAAGCTTCAAACATTTAGGAATTCTGAGCAATTTGAGAGTCCTAACATTTTTAGAAATACCCTAATTTCATACTACTGTATACATAATTTTTGCACGGTAATGCGCCCTTTTCTGAAATGCTTATGGAGAAATAATGTACAGTTGACCCCTGCACAACAGATTTTTGCACCACAGACTGCCTCTGGAGGCAGTTTTCCCTCCAATGCAATGGACTAAATCAGCACAACAGAATTCTGTTGGTTTGAAATTAATGGTAAAAAGTAAAAAATGTAATTTTTTAATAACCAAAATTTGCATAGCAGCCTTTTTAATCAACATACTAGTCTGTTAGGCAAATCAAGTCTATTATGCAGAGGTTGGTTGTACTTCATTCTGTATCATCCACATATTCAAAAGTTTTTCACAAAATATGTTCTATTGTGTGTCCAGAGCACAAGGAAAACACGTTGAATTGATTTTAAGATAAGTAAACTTCAATATGAAAACGGATATGCTGAATTCATAAGCTTAAAATATATGGAAAAATATGTGGAGAAAACATAATGTATTCAATACATTTAATATTGCTTCTCATTTTACTTTTTCATCTGTGCATGGTCTAATTAGATTATCATCACTTCTACAGATACATGAAAAAATCAAGATTCCAAAAACTCGAAATTTTTCACAGTTCAAATGAGCAAAAAATTTGGAAATTATTTCCCTCAGTGTTACACTCAAGTTTGGAGGCTTAAATTATGACTTGAAATTTTCATGTTATCGTTTATTAGGATTATATTTAAAATTATGATTTATACAGTATTTGTAGGAATTGCACATTAATTTCTTGTGTAATTCATTTGAACTTTTGTTGTTTTTTCAAGTCAGACTCAGTGAAATATTTGCTGCGTTTTTTTCTCCGTGGTCACAATCTGCGAATTCTAAAGAAGCAGTTATTTCAAAACACGTTTTCCTTAATGCGGCCAAAACTTGCTAAAATTACTTCGGGTGCAATGCAAGGGGAAATCAGTCAAATTTGTTCTTTAATTTACTTCAAAACTGCGATTTTTTGCAGGGCCAATGAGATTGCCAATCATTGGCACTCTTTGGAGAATGTCAACTAAGATATCATTGGGTCGTCAGTATATGGATTTAGCTGAAAAATATGGGCCAATTTACAGGTGAATTCTAATTTTTTTGTTTACTGTATATGGATCCACATTTTTTTATATCATCATATTTTATTTTAGCTTGAAACATGGAGAATTTGAAGTGGTTGTGTTGTCAGACCCTGATGACATCAAGAAAGTGCTCAGTTCTGAAGTTTCCACTGGAAGAATGCGGACATTCTTTTTCACTGAAGTATACTATCCCAACTTAATACCATTCGTTTTTAACAAAGCTGGTTCAAAATAAAATAGACAAAGATATTCTTATAGTTTAGTTTTAGGTATATCCTTTCTAAAAAATCAAAAGTTGACTTTTTAAAAAATCTGAGTGTTTTGAATAATTTTTAAACATTATATTATATTTTAAATGGTTTGCTGAGGTTTCAATCTTGAAAAATGCTGACAGAAAATTATGAAAATGTATATTTCTCCCATAGGGTTGTTGTTCTCAGACGGAGACCAGTGGAAAGAGCAAAGAAAGTTTTGTTCCAAAGCACTGAAGGATTTTGCGTTTGGAAAATCCCTGATGGAGGACTCAATCATTGAAGAGTTTCAATATCTCTCAAATACTTTGAAAGAAGATGACATTCCAGAGAAATCATCTTTTGTAACACGTGATTTAGAAGAAAATCTTGGACAAGCTGTGGTCAACTCTTTGTGGCTTGTTGTGGCTGGTAAGTGGGAAATTGAGTCTAAAATCTTCTAGTATTTTCTGTTGAGTTTATACATGTCAAACTTGCTTCAGACAACTTTAGAAATTTCTGATATTTAGATAAAGTTGATTCCAAGGGTTTGTTGTCTTGTGATTTTATATCTGAAGTCTGGAGTCTTGTTTGGTGGATGGAGCAGAGCAATATTTTCCAGAGAAATGGAGTAGTTGGTACTCTTAGAACCACTTTATGAATTCCTTTGTTTGCAATGAGTTCCATGGAGAGATGAATGAGTTTTACAACTGGATTTTATTATCCATACTTTCAGGTTTTCATGACATTGCAGTCATTCACAGTAATGATAAACATCATGTGACAAAGTGCCAGATTTTTCTACATAATTCCAATTCAAAAGAGTTTGGATTCTGAGAATGTACTTGCTGATTAGCATGTATACAAAATTTTCATTAAACTGTCAACTGCCCAGCAAATAATGGGGGCATTGGGCTGTGAAACGTTGAGGAAATGGCCTGCCAATGGGTTCTGCAATGCATTCTATCAATTGTTGGGATTTTGAGCCAATGCTCCCCTGCTGGCATTTTGAGCTAAGCGGTGCAGGACATGTTGGCAGTCCATTGAGAACACTGTTTGAGATGAAGGCCATTCTGAAATGCATTGTAGGATGCATTTGAGAATGGTACACCCAATGTTTTTTGGGCAATAAAATGCACCCCATTCAGAGCACCATTGAAAAATACAGTGCCAACGCATTTAGCAATGTACACATATATAAACATTAAAATATAATTGGAGACAATAGAAATTTTGCCAATTAAACTGAAATGTCCTTGAAATTCTGGTCTTACTTGAGTCAATGAACCTGCCATGTTCACTTGAACATTGCTGATGAATTGTTGAGTAAAAGTGCTAATTTTGCTGAAAAAAAATGAAGTAAAATATAAAATGATCTTCAAACTTTGAAGATCTGTACAATATTCCCTAATTAAGATAAAACGGAGTTCTAAAAAAGGAAATTCTCCTAAAAACAAGGCCTTTCTTGCTATTTCATCATATCATACAATATTCAAGTAAAAATCATTCCATGTCATTTTCGTGCAATGTAGAATGATGTTCAACTTGAACATTGTTTTACATTGTTCTATGTTGCACTACATTGCATGCATATGATGTAATGCAATGTAGAACAATGTAAAACTGTTGTACATCATTGAATAGGATAATCCAATCTTTTTTTCCTTTTCCCTATTTTTCTCTATCTAGGGAAGAAGCTTGACCGGTTTACCCATGAGTATCAGAGAGCCATGGACTCCTTACCCATGGAAATGAACTACACCCTTTTCCTTTCCCTATTTCCTTCCATTCAATCTCGGCTGCCAAAAATGCTTTCAGGAGTTGAAATTCTACATTCCTGCACAAGCTTCATGCATCCATGGGTTCAAGTAAGCTAGCGTTTTCACTCAACATGTGTTCATTAGAAAATTGAGCTCTTTTTGAAATATCCACCCTTTCTTCAGGGACACATTGATGATCACAGGAGGGATTTCAGTGCTAATGCATTGCCAAGAGATTTGATTGACATGTTCTTTTTGGAGCAGGCGAAGATGGAGAAAAGTGGAGTTGAAGGTCATCATTACACTGGTAAAGTGTATTTTCATGGTTACTGGAAATGAGACCTATTCCAATAATCTTCTATATTTTTCAAGATCTTCATTTGGCAGCTGCGCTTTGTGATCTTTTTATTTCTGGAGCTGAAACAACCACATCTGGGTTAAGATGGCTTTTGTTGTTCCTCATTGAAAATCCGGAATGTCAGGAGAAAATTCATGATGAAATTGATGCAGTTATTGGGAATGAGCGATGTGTTCAATGGGCAGACCATAAAAAGTAAGTGCAATAGCTTTCTTTTGTTTTCAGGTATGCTGCATGTTTCCATATTATTACAGATGACACTCTCAAGGTCATCTGGCTTCATTTTACTGTTTGTACCGCAACTGTTTTGGCTTTTCACATTCTGAAAAAATATTAGACACATTTTAAGCCCAATTTAAATACTTTTCCAAATACCGATTTTGAGAGTTTGACCCTGAAAAAATAAAAGCTACTGTTCAAACATAAAGGTATATATTCTTCCAGCATTGATTTGTGAAGATTATTTGTTTCCCTGATTAGGTTCCATATATTTTTCCGTCATTTTGTCAATTGAACTTCAGATTTTCAAGGAATTTCACAAAATAAAGTATATTCTTGAAAGAAAATATTGGTTGAACCTCAGAGAGAATTTTTGATACTGAAAAGGTTTTTAAAACAATATCCTTGTTATATTAGAAATATTTTTCTCAGATTGGAGGAGGCCAACTTGACCCAATTTCAAATCTGAATTTATTTTCAGAGATTTTTAAAACCAAATAATGTACCAACCGCAGAACTTTATTTATTTCTTATAGGGAACACCCAATGATCAGTAATTTTAAATGTAAAACACAGTTTTATGAAAATTGCTTTTAATTTATTTTATCCAACTGAAATAATGCTGCATTCACTGAATTGAGTTAAAAACAAAATACTACCAAGATGTTTTTTTAATTGGAATTTATTTCATTTGGTAGAACATAAGGCCACGTATATGAATTATGGGTAATCCAGAAAGTTTGAACTTGATTTCAAATCCTGCAGTAAAGTCACAAATGTATTGTTAGGGAGAAACTTACCTTAACATAAATATGTTTGAGTTTTTCCTAGTGGATCAATAAATTAACTGAATAAAGTAAAGTTTGAAATTATTCGGAAATGAAAGTCAGAATCAGCCTGGGACTAGGCCGGGGAACCTTATTTTGGTTTCCCTGATTTAAATTAGAAGTATATTTCAAGATATTTGTCCCACAAAGATAACACACAAATAGTAAGCTTTTCAACAATACAACACTCGAAAGAACTCCACTGATATTCGTAGATTTCACAATTTTGGCAAATATGCACAGTTCAGAGGTTCGATTTGAAGTGGCTTTGGTAATTTCGTTCTCCGGTGAAATCGGGGGAAACGGAAATCGGTTTCTGGTTTTTCTTTTGTTGAATTGCTGTTGCCCTTGGCGAGTTCCTTATTCTCTTTGAGGGTTGGAACTCTTATCAGATTTTTGCGGTTTTTTATAATTCATTTTAATTTAATTTTAGCATTGTTCGGTGTGCGGCGGTTTCCCAACATGTATAGCGTGTTTCAAGTGCTAAAATGCGCAAGTCAAAATTCAAGTTGAAGTTTAATTCGAGCGACCAAAAAATCAGGGTTACCATGGTGTAAATATATTATTGGAGAGGAAAATTAAACTTGCTAACGTTATGTCAAGTCAACTGTACTTTTTCTCTTCTTCGGCTTCCTTCCGTAGTACATAAGGTCTCGAGAAACTTATCTTCGCTCTTGAAAAAAATAAAAATAAATAATATTTTTAGGATAATTTCAAACAAAATTGTTTTTTTCCATCAAAGGCAAACTATTCGGCGTTTCTTTCGTGAAAATGATCAAGTACATAATCTGAAGATAACGTGTATTCATTCAATTTTGTTTTTTAGAATGCACTATACTCAGGCCGCAATTCATGAAGCTTGGAGACTGCCAGGAGTGACATCTAATGCAATTGATCATAGACTCATCGCTGACATGGAGATTGGTGGCTACCATGTGCCGAAAGTGAGCTGATTAGATTCATATATATGGTGCATTATTGAGGAAAAAATATCCAAAATTACGGAAATCGAGCTGTTTTGGAGGATAAATTCAAGAGATTTTAAAATGCAGTAATTGTATTTATGATTATTCAGGAAACCATCATCGTTCCACTGATTCGTTCAGTCCACTCAAACCCGAAATATTGGGACAATCCCTTGGAATTCAAACCCGAGAGATTCTTGGACAAGAACGGAGAATTTCAGATACCAAACAAAGACGCTTACATGCCATTTTCGACAGGTTGGCAAAAAAAAAAAAGATTCTCAATTTCGATTTTGTCCTACGTTTTTCAGCGATTGAACCAAATTTTGTTTTGTTTTCAGGATTTTCCGTTACAAACCCGCTTTTGTACCGCTCTTACTGCTGCAAAAACCCTCAGACGTAGAACAACGTTTTCATGTTTAAACTGTTCTAAGGACCAGTACATATGTTAAAGCTACTTAGCGGCTTTACATTGATAGTCAATAGCATCGAAGCCTTTGAAGTTGTCGCTGTTCCCAGGTAATCATGCTTTTTCCGTGTGCGAAATTTCTTTATCATGAAGCTTTTTTGATTGATTGAAAGTGCTTCTCGACGTAATTTTTTTTTTCATTCTGTGTTAATAAATTTTTCTTTTTTCATTTATTCGTTGGTATTTCGTTTTGATGAGTCAGTGCGACGAAATATCGTTTTTTCCGGCGAGGAAGAATTTTTGGAATTCTTTGACCAATTTTTGGAACTCGACACTGTGTCAACTTTTCGCGAATGAAAATCCCTGCTAGCTATTTCTTTGATTTTTTGACAAACTGTAATGTGCAAAATTGGATCATGGGATTTTCAAAACACTGAAATATGCAGGGAAATATGGACACTCATATACTGTACGTATCAGTCAACAAGAAGTATTCAGAAAATCCCCAATTAGAAATAATTACAGCATAATTATATGCCTTTGTCGTGAATTGATCAAATACATAATTTAGGGTTAGAGTCTCCTAAAGAAACTTACTGTTGAGAGATTGATCTTAAATAAGTGATTTTTTTTTAGGAAGGTTGGGGTTTTTTGAACATTTTTGAGACAGACTAAATTATTCTTTTCCCTTGAGATACGAGTAGATCGTTTTAATCTCGGACCAACACAGACAAAACCTACTCGATTTTCGCGCATATTACACAAAATATTTGAAAAATTTTGTCAAAATTGCGTCTAATTAATTTGATTATTCTCCATGCTTTTCCCACTTATCCAGTAAAAACCTGAACAAATCTCACAGCTCAACCAATATGCGGTAATTTGAGCAATATGGTCATTTCGATTTTTTTTTCTTCAAATTTTAAAATTTCCTTTTTTAATACTCCTATACGTATTTAAAATGAACTGCTCATTTTAAAATCTTTTGTGTTTTGATTGGAATCACTTCGTCTTTGACTCGAGCCATTTTTTTTAGAAAGTATAAAATCTGAAAAATCGCACAAAAAGATTGGATGAGGAATGTTTCTTTGCTAAATCACGACTGTTGAATGAATTTATTGGAAATACATACTTGATCATATAAAGTCCTTGACCTTCTTCAAGTGCTGAAAATTTTCGCTATAAAAAAAAAAAACGCAGACTTCGTGTTTCAAAGGAAACAGGTACAGTATTTTATTTCTCGATTTTTTTTTCTACGACGGACGCAGGCGACATCTACTGAGATCTGCAGGGAAATTCAGAAAACACTTCTTTCCCATGGTTGCCAAGGTTATGAATGCTATTTCTGATCCTCCCACTGATTCCAGTAGGCTCTCGTTTGTTCTACATATTTTTTTTTTTGAAGGACGAATATTGCAAAGCTCATGGAATATTCTATTCGTGGTGCAACGACAAACGCGGGTTCCGAGATTCGGGCGTTTTCGGGTCTTTTGATTCACCCGTCACAAGTCATCAGAAGAAAATCCAAATCGAAGAACGCGTTACTGTTGTGTGGTGCACACAAGAAAGAAAAAAAAAAGCGCAAAGTTTTGCAAGTGATTCGCGAGTGGTATTTTTGCAAAGATGCTCGACTTCCAAATAGAGAACTGGGTTCCTTTCGCGTCGTCCAGAACTGCTTTCTATTCGGCAGTCGTCGCATTCCTCGCATTTTCTACATTCAAGTTGATCCAGTTTATGGTCCGACCGAAAAACTATCCTCCAGGTATATATTATACCCAGAAAATTTAGAATTCGAATTTATTTTTTCTCTACAATTATGCGTGCTTTATTCAGGTCCTCTGAGATTGCCGATAATAGGAAACTTCGGTTGCGTGAATTGGACGGAATGTTGGCCGACTCGATTGGCGATTTTGAAAGAAAAATACGGCGACGTCTTCAGGTGTTATCAAAAAATAAATAAAAAATACATATTTTCTAAAATAAATCGTTTTTTACAGTGTAAAATGTGGACAAAGCGACGTGGTGGTCATTGCGGATCCAAACATCCTCAAGGAAGTCCTGAAAAGAGATGAAGTTGGAGAACCACCCATTGTTTACATGAAACAAGTTCAGTAACTTTTACAAAAAAAAATTACTCTTGAAAAATTCTTCACAAAAAAAAAATGCTTGCAGGAGATTACAGACTTCATGTTTCCCGGAGGAGATCCTTGGAGAGAGCAACGCAGGTTTTGCCTGAATGCCTTCAAAGAATCAGGATTTCAGGATGATAGAGCCTTGGAGGCATCCATCTTGTCTGAATTCGCAGAGCTTGTCACTTCTCTTAAACCTGAGGATGTTAAGGAAGGGGATCAATTTGACTCCCAATTGGATGAAAGAGTTTCTGCCACAGTTCTGAGCATCATGTGGCTCACCATCACTGGTATTTTTTTATTTTTTTATTCAACTGCTGATGACACATTTTATAACTTATATAAATGCTTTTTGAAAAAGGGAAGAAAATCAAAGTGGGAGAACGAGCATTCCAGAGAGCACTTGAGGCAATGCAAGAAGAAATCAATCCTGCAATTATTGCATCAATGCTTCCAACTCTTTATCCAGTTTTGCCTTCCAAGATGAGTGGCTCAAACAAGGAAATAGACTCAAATGATGATGTTTACAAATGGCTTCAGGTTTGTGTGATTTTGTGCGCATTTAATTATTTTTTTTTTTTGAATTTATGGTCCACTGTTTTGCAGAGTTTTGTTGATGAGCGCAGGAAAGACTTGGATGAGTCAAATCCAAAAGACTTCATTGACACTTACTTCATTGAACAGAAGAGGCTTGAAAGTGAAAACAAAACTGAACATGGTTTCACTGGTCAGTTTTTTTTCAATAAGTTATTCTAGTATATGTCTGTGGTTTGAAAATTGTGTTTGTATGTCCAGATCAAAATTTGCTGGCTGTTCTGATTGACCTGATTATGGCTGGAGCTGAGACCACAGCAATTGGACTCAGGTGGTTCTTTCTGTACATGGTTCAACATCCAGAGGTCCTCCTCTTTTAGGCACTTCTTTAACTACGACACTAACCGGTACCTTGGGGACTTACCCGTCTAGTAAGCTTCATTGATTTTAACTCAGTAAAGGACGTGTGTATTTATTTGTACGGATTGAGTTTACACCCCCAAGTTCAAAAACCTCTCATTGAAATTTTTATTTTGTCCATGTCCATACTTTTTTGAAAATATAGTAGTTTAACCTGAACCTCCATAACTGCAAATGTGTTGCCTCTGAACCTATGTAAGTTGAGATTTTCTGGCAATGAAGGACAGAATATTTTGGAAAAAATAAATGACTGAAAAGAGCAACTTCAATTTGAAATAGAATTAAATCTTGATTTATTTAGGTTCTACATGCAGACACGCATGCAGATATATGCAGCATTTTCAATGTTTGAACTTTCTATGTTGATGAAATAAACAATGAAAGAATTATTTTTGTAACCAAAACTTTTCGGCCGTAGTATTTAATTTCTAAAATTGGTGGAACCATTTTCAGCTAATTCCTTGCCTCAAAACTCTTATAAATTGATTTTTGGTGTGAATGGCAATTTATTTCAGCTGTCTTCAATTTATTGCAACTGAATTTCAATTTATTTCAGCTTAATTTCAATTTATAAAAATAATTTTTCTTTCCTGCAGGATGCACTACACCATGGCAGCCATTCATGAAATGTGGAGGATACCCTCAGTTGTTCCTGTCTGGGTAGACCATAGACTGGAAGAAAAGAGAGATATTGCTGGATATTGTGTTCCAAAGGTACACAATTCCTTTCCTTTTTTGCCACAAATTACAATGATTTGTAATGTTTTTTTCAACAGGGAACAATCATCCAAGGTTTGATCAATGCCATCCATACTGACCCAAAATACTGGAAGGAACCAATGGAGTTCAAACCAGAGAGATTCCTGAATGAAAATAAGGAGTTCTTCATTGAAAATGAGGATGTTTACATGCCTTTTGGAATTGGTATGCATTGATTTTTGCTAATGCTCCTGAATGTTCCATAACTTGAACCTCCTGAAAACCAATATCTCTCTCTAGTTAAAAGAGTTAAGGGACAGTCTTAAAGGAAAGGGTAGTGTGGACTTTTTTTTTTTCAAAAGACCTCCGAAAATAGTAAAATAACTGGTTCCTTTCTCTAATCGTTATTTCTACATTGAATAAGTTGAGCTTTGCACAGAAGTGAAAGACTTATTGGGGCATTTAACCCTAGCCTTCAACTCATCACTAGTTACAATATCTCATTAATCTTGTTTTTGTTCCCCCAACAGAAATGCTTGTTTTCCTAGCTCAAAACCTCCCCAAGCTTGATTTGTTGCTGATTTTGCAATGTTGAAATTTCTTCCAGGAAAGAGGCATTGTTCAGGAGAAAAGTTGGCAAGGATGACTACCTTCCTTGGAGTGGTGACCTTGCAGCAGAGATTCAAGTTCACTAAGATACCAGATGAAGATTACAACATGTATCCAAAGCCCACCAGCAGCATTGTGAATATCCCTTTTTTCTACAAGGTCAGGGTTGTGGATAGAAGTGCTGAGGACTGGAAGCAAGAAGACAGGATTGCCCCAGCAGTCAAGGAGGAATGAATATACCTCTCACACACATAATTTCAATGAAGTGTGATTGAATTTCAATGGAATATATACCTTGTCATTTATCGGCAATGGATTCATGGTTTTTGAACAATGTAAAAATAGCAGTCAAGGAGGAATGAATATACCTCTCACACACATAATTTCAATGAAGTGTGATTGAATTTCAATGGAATATATACCTTGTCATTTATCGGCAATGGATTCATGGTTTTTGAACAATGTAAAAAATATAATATCCACCGTCTCAAAAAATTGCGTTTTCCTCATCATATTTGCTGCGTTTTGTTTGTTGAAATTCCATGGGAATATATGACGTTTTTCTGTAGAAGCAAATGATTTATTCAAAGGACAAAATATTTTATTTATTCTAGATTTTCCCCATCTACAAAAAAAATGTCTTCAGCGAGTTCAGTCACCTTTCTGAAAGTCAAGTTTATTCTGCTTATAGGAGCCGATTTCTTGATTTTTTTCATGTGCCATATGTAGTAACCTCATTGTAAATTCTGTTTGGCAAAAGCAGGTATTTGTTTCAAGAACTCAATATTGTATCAGAGGTATCCATACAGGGTGACAGTGGCACTGGGTTTTAGCTTACTGAATACCAGCCTGCGCAGTTGAATTGTTGTAGTATGGGTATGTGTAAAGCTCACATTATTAATACTGTACAAGCATAGCAGTCAAGGAGGAATGAATATACCTCTCACACACATAATTTCAATGAAGTGTGATTGAATTTCAATGGAATATATACCTTGTCATTTATCGGCAATGGATTCATGGTTTTTGAACAATGTAAAAATATAATATCCACCGTCTCAAAATTGCGTTTTCCTCATCATATTTGCTGCGTTTTGTTTGTTGAAATTCCATGGGAATATATGACGTTTTTCTGTGGAAGCAAATGATTTATTCAAAGGACAAAATATTTTATTTATTCTAGATTTTCCCCATCTACAAAAAAAATGTCTTCAGTGAGTTCAGTCACCTTTGTGAAAGTCAAGTTTATTCTGCTTATAGGAGCCGATTTCTTGATTTTTTCATGTGCCATATGTAGTAACCTAATTGTAAATTCTGTTTGGCAAAAGCAGGTATTTGTTTCAAGAACTCAATACACATAGTCTCCATAGGTATGTCCCACTGTCACCGTGACCCAAAATCGAATGACTTATGGTCGGACGCGTCAACTTAACAACATCATACCCATACACATTTCGAGTGTAATAATTATGACATGTTCGTTCTTTCCAATGCCATAGAAGAGCATTTACATCATAACTGTGTTTGGGGAAAATTAGTCTAGCTCAAATATCACAGTACTTGATGTGTTGAGTAACTTTCCAATTCATCATAGTCTTGAAAGTTGTTCAAAAAAGTGTTTCTTTTATACAGTCAACTCATTTCTTTTCCTTTATTCTTTTATTTTTATGTGGATGTAATTTGCCCATTTATGTGCCTCCTGTGTTTGTACCCAGGCCTCATGCATGGGATTCCAAAGCCCTTCCCTGGATCTGGACTCCTGAGCAGTCCTGTCCCACTGTCCTGAGGTGGATGCTCATCTGTTGGGAGCCCAATTCTTCTATATGCTCCCCTCTCTCTGTCCCAGTGCAACCCCACTCTCTGTCCTATGGTTGCGCATGAGTGACTTCAAGAATAGGTAATCGCAGGTTTTGATGCCTGTTGATGGCTGTATGAAGCTCATGCAAGTTGGTTGCATTCAAGAATTTGGTTCATATTTTGTATAACATATTAGTGGATTATAACTTTGCAAATTAATGCACAGAGCAATAAGGAACTTAATTTGATTGGATTCAATAAGTAGGTTTTCTGAGTTGAGATTGGCAAAGAGTCTTCCTCAGCAGTAACATCAGGTTCCTTTAAAAAAAACAGTTCTAGAACTCTGGTCTTGCAGAAACTGCTGGTTTATGGCCTTGCAGACTTGTCTTGCAGAACCCAGGCATCACAATAGTTCATTTTGTAAGTGATACCCCGAAAAGGACAGTTTACTTTTTTTACACGGGCGCCATGAATACTCATTTATACCATCAGATTTTTAAAGTACCACAGAGAAACTTTTTCAATAACAAGAAACCAACTGTTAGTGTGAAACACTTTTGTAAACCAACTTGTTGAATCCCACTCAATTGCCTTGACAAACAGAACTCAAAACCTGCAGTTGATTTCCATGTACAGTACTTGAAGTCACTCATGCTCAACCATAAAAGGGAGAGTGACTTGTATTGGAATTGACTGAGAGGGGAGCGCAGCAAAGAGTTTGGCTTCAGTAGGGAGATTGGTGTCACTGTTACAAGGTTTTGGAGGAACTTGTTTTTCAGGGCATTGCCAGACATCTGGTTGTCTGTTCATGCACTGTTTCTGGTTTTGTTTCAGGCTCTTAATTGCTTGTTTCAGAGTGCAAAAATGAGAACACTACTTGAATATGGCATCAGTCAATAGCTAAGGCACTGCCAGCAGCGCATTTGGGCTGAAGATGATTCTTCTGATGTAGTATAAAATATTATAACCTTGTTTGCCAACAGTGTTTACAATGTTACTGTCTTGCTGGTCTGCTGAAGTGGTGTTAAACCTAAATAGAATGCTAACCATCATCAGGAGAAAGAAGTGGCAAAGAAATTGCTGTTGCACATAAGTAGTGCATAAAGAAAATGAACAAAATGTCTTGGCCAACGGGGAAGGTAGTGCTGTGAAGTTTTTCAGGCAACAAATTGTATTTGGGGGAGTTGGGTTGGGTGGGGAGGGGTTTGGATGCAGGAGTTCTGGTTATGCCTTGTGAACGCTGAAAAGCGGCAAATAAAGTTTTCTGTTCATTCATTCATTCAACGTATCGTTCATTTGGTATTTTTTGCACCCCAGTTTGGTCTTTATCCTACATAGTGTTATCAAGTAAAACATTCACTATGGGGCTTTTCCTGTCAAATGAAAAAAATGTGCCCGCGGTACTTATGAGTAAATATGGTAGTCTAAAAATTTCATGGTGTCTCTTTGAAAAAGTTATTGTTCAAACCAACTGTTAGTGTGAAACACTTTTGTAAACCAACTTGTTGAATCCCACTCAATTACCTTGACAAACAGAACTCAAAACCTGCAGTTGATTTCCATATACAGTACTTGAAGTCACTCATGCTCAGCCATAAAAGGGTGAGTGAGTTGTATTGAAATGGACTGAGAGGGGAGCGCAGCAAAGAGTTTGGCTTCAGTAGGGAAATTGGTGTCTCTGTTACAAGGTTTTGGAGGAACTTGTTTTTCAGGGCATTGCCAGACATCTGGTTGTCTGTTCATGCACTGTTTCTGGTTTTGTTTCAGGCTCTTAATTGCTTGTTCCAGAGTGCAAAAATGAGAACACTACTTGAATATGGCATCCGTCAATAGCTAAGGCACTGAAAGATGATTCTTCTGATGTATAAATTAATATAAACTTGTTTGCTAAAAGTGTTTACAATGTTACTGTCTTGCTGGTTTGCTGAAGTGGTGTTAAACCTAAAGAGAATTCAAACCATCATCAGGACAAAGAAGTGGCAAATAAATTGGTGTTAAGCGTAAGTAGTGAATAAAGAAAATGAACAAAATGTCTTGGCTTACAGGGAAGGTAGTGCTGAGAAGTTTTTCAGGCAACAAATCCTGCATTTGGTATTTTTTGGACCCCAGTTTGGTCTTTATCCCACCAATGAAAACTTTTGAAAACCCTGAAGACTTATTTTGAAAAGGGAACACACAAATCTGGGCAAAGGGATATTTCAAAAAAATTGATAATTTGTATAACAAAGCCTTCATTTTTAATTATAAAGGTTCCTGAATACGGATTTTGCTATAAACAAAACAACAACTATAAATGGGCTATTACAAACTCAAAATTTAGAAAAGCCTGTGTAACAGTTGCAAGAAAAGTTTTCAAACAAAATTCTAATTTGGTTTTTATATACCATATTTGATTGTGACAAAATTGAATGCATGGGCATATTTCAAGGAATCTCAAATATAGGTTGACTCTCTCTATAAAAATCCTATTTACAACAAATTTATCTGCATAATGAATTTTTATTTTGTATCCCATATGGTTTCCTTATTTACCGATTTTATGCTCTACTGTAGTTCTCTACACAACAAAATTCTCTCTGCAATAATTTTTTTTCTGGTCCCTCCAGCAATTTGGTTGAAGAGATTGTCCACCTGTATTTGACAAAATATCTGGGTTTTCCTTATCTCCAGACGTTAAAAGTACTGTATTCCACCAGATGATAAAAAAATTGAATATTAATCTCGCAATTTTACACATCTCTATATAAAATACTAAAAACTGTGTATCATGCTGTGGAAGACTTTTGAATTACCCTTGGCAGACCATAAGAACGCTCCAACATGCACTAAGATAGTATAGGATAAGAATGCATCTTGTGGGCTTCAAGGACAGGAGAAGTTTCCATTGCCCTCAGGGCGGATGGGAAAAAGCCACAACTAGCTGTAGTGCAACTATTGAAGTAATCCATGGCCTCAAGAATAGTTTTTCAGGTGATTCTCTGTGACGTGGTTGGCTGTTATTCCAGTTTTTTCGAAGACTCATTCAACACTTGCCGATGAAAAAAATATCTGAATTTTGAATTGTCCCAGAATCGTATTTTTTGAGCACTATTAGACTCACTTGTTCATGGATTTTAACTCATTTCTTTTGCTCTAAATTTTAAAAAGGAGAAAAATGCTGGAAGTCTTTCAAAAATTTTCTTTACAAACAAATCACTTTAATGAATGTTTCCAGAATATTATGTCGAATGAAAAAAAAAACGGTGAGTCCTATTATTGTATAATATTTATTCTTATCGCATCCCAAGTATGCATATATATACTGTATATATTTATTACTATGCAATACTATAAAAGAATCCGTCTTATTATTTTAATCTCTTTTCGATCTATTTATTGTGTGATATAAGTTCGCTCACTTCCTTTCAATATGACCTGGTTCTCTTGATCCCCTTGCAGGATGGCATCAAGTTTATTTTTTGCTTTATTCCTGGGGGGTTTAATTTACATTTTAGTGAAATTTTTCCAGCAAGTTTGGTCACCCAAAAGCTATCCACCAGGTAAGAAAAATTGAACTCCTCAATTTTTTTTTGCATTTTTAAAAGTTTAAATCATTCCTGACAGGACCATTGAGGTTACCGATTATTGGTAGCTTATGGTGCTTGAACACCAAAGAAAACATGGGAACACAAATGCTGAAATTGAGAAAACAATATGGCAGCATATTCAGGTTGGCTTCCGATTCTGGTCTTCTTTCAAATGGTGACAGAAAATTGTTTCATTGTTTTTGGTGTAGCTTCAAGTATGGTCAACTTGAAAGTGTGCTTATATCTGATCCAAAAGTACTGAAGCAAGTTTTGGCAAGTGATGACAGTGCAGCAAGACCGCATCTCTACTACACAACAAACCTCGTTTATATGAATCAGAATATAGGTGATATACTCATTGGTCATGTCTTGGTTTATCCCACTGAAATTTTGTCTCATTCTATATTTTTCTCTGCTACACAGGGCTCATATGTTCTGAAGGTGATCCATGGAAGGAACAGAGAAGATTTTGCTTAAAGTCAATGCGGGATTTTGGCTTTGGTAAAACTTCAATGGAAGTATCCATCATGGCTGAATTGGAAGACCTTGTTGGGTCATTGAAGCCTGCAGATGCAAAAGCAGGAGAGTCATTTGTAACTCAGCTTGATGAAAGGGTTGCTGCTACAGTATTGAATTCTTTGTGGATGATAGTAGCTGGTTGGTTGGATTTTTCAAAATGTATTACAGTGAGACCTTGTGATGCAGATGTAACTGGCATATCAAGAGTGTCCTGATGTTGGAATTGGGCCTGAGTTGAGTCTTATTTTCCCTTAGACTTCAATGCTGATGATGCATTTAATTGGTTATCGTTTTTGTCAAAATTATAATAAAAATTGTTTCCCTTAACTTAAAGTTGTACAAAACAACAGAGCAGGAAAAACCACATAGAATCTGATATTCAGGTATCAAAGCAGCTCAAAAAGGAAAGAAAAAGAACAAGTCTTGCTAGAACATACATGCACAGATGATATAAAAAAAATCTGGAAAATGAAGCACAAAATCAGCTTGCTTTTGATGATGAATTAGAGGGGCTTTATGATAAAATATTTTCTCAAGTATTTATGAATATAAATAGCATAATTTCTTCAAAAGAGATCAAATTTTAAAAAAATATTGAAAATTTCAGGAAAGTGTTCCTAACTCAAGCCAATGTCTGGATTTTGGGCCTGATTTTGTTGTTGTTTTCAAGTGTTCCTAAGTCAAATTGTCCATATATGTTGGGGTGTCTGCATATTGGGTTCTCACTGTAATTACAAATACACATGGATATATAAACGCAGGTTTTGTTTTCAAGGAAGCCGCCTTCATTTGGATGATCCGGAATTTCAGCATACTCTCAAGATCATTCAGATTGAATTTAATCCTGCAATCATAGCATCAATGTTTCCCAGCTTTATACCTTTCCTACCAATGAAATTGATAGGCATGGGTCCAGAAAGAAGGAATGGAATTCAAAGAAGCTATGCTTGGATGAAAGTAATGTACTATTTCATGATGATAAGACCGTAAAAGTTTTGGTTTCCAAAAATGATTTCTTTCAGGCCTTTGTGGACCATCATAAGGAAACACTGGATCCATCTTCTTCAAGAGATTTTGTTGATGCTTATTTGATTGAGCAAATTAGACTGAAGGAATCTGGAAACTCAGATCACAGCTTCACAGGTGAGTTTTTTTTGGCCAGATTATAAAATTTGATGTTGATAATCATGTATATGTTTCCAGATTTGAATTTGCAGGCAGTTCTCTTTGATCTCTTTGTTACTGGAGCTGAAACAACATCAACAGGACTCAAGTGGTTCTTTTTGTACATGGTTGAGCATCCAGAAATACAGGCAAAAGTACATGAAGAAATTGAGGCTGTGATTGGTGTTAGGGCGCCTGAATGGAATGACCACTTGAAGTAAGAATTTTGATATATCTATATTCCCAACTTCTCCAGTATAAAAAAGGACCTGATTTTTTTATAGGATGCATTATACACAAGCAGCCATCCATGAAATGTGGAGAATTCCCTCTGTGGCTCCTGCTGGAATTGAGCACTTGTTGCTTAAAGACAAAGAAATTGGAGGGTATCTCATTCCAAAAGTGAGACAAGCACATTTCCTGCTTTGAAGTGGCTCCAAAAAATGATCTTTTTTTATTGGATAGAAATCTTCCTTTTTTAAGAGTAAAAGCATCCCATTCTTTTTTCCAATTTCTTTTTCTTCTCTGCTGAAGGTTAGAGAAAATTTTCCATTATAGTATTTCTTATTTGATTCTGAATGAGGATTTTTTACAATTTCTTCTGCTTTGATAAATCTTCTGTATGTTACTGCCTTTCGCATTAACCCTTTGATGTTAAAGGGTTCTTTTCAACCCCAGGGCAAAGTTAGGATTTTTCTAGGGGAAGGAACATTTCAGTTGTGTTCAAAGATCATTGAAATGCCCCTGGATTGGGAAGTCTTTAGTTGAATAATCAAATTGAATTTGCATTTATTAAAACTGAAGTTCAAAACTTGATGTTTTGAATGCACAGAAATCTTGTTTTCTCAAAATTGGTGCAAAGTGGAATTGAATTTCATCTTATTGAGGGGCCCTTCAAGTCCAATATAAGGCTGCCTTTCACTCTCATTTCCATTAGGCAATTATGATCATGATGAGTATACTGTATTTTCTTTTTTATTCTTAGGGAACAATGATCCAAGGATTGATTTATGCCATTCACACTGATCCAACGTATTGGAAAGATCCCATGCTTTACAATCCCAACAGATTTCTGAATGAAAGCGGAGAGTTTCATATTGAACACAAAGATGCCTACTTACCCTTTGAGATTGGTCTGTAATTTTTGCCCATGAGTTGATTTGCTATGAAAGAAGATCTATACCTGAAAATTCTTTTCTTCCAGGAAAACGGCAGTGTTTGGGGGAAAATGTTGCAAGGATAACAACTTTTCTTGCAGTTGCTACTTTGTTGCAGAAATTCAGGTTCAGGAAAGTTCCTGGGAAGAAATACAACCTTGAACCAAAACCCAACAGCAATGTTGTCAATGGACCTTTCCCCTATGAAGTCTTGGTTGAAGTTTGGGAATGATTTTTGGATTGCAATACAATATGTTTTATCCAAGTCCCTGTTGGAATGTTGGAATACATCATAATGGTCCTGTTTTGTTGCAGGCAGTTTTTTCACCTCATGTCTCCCAAGTTTTTTTCTGACCTGAAAATATGGGATCAAATGTTCATGAATGCCTCATAATTTCCTTATTTCCTGATTTATTTTCTTTGCCAATAAATTACAGTCATTGTACATTGCTATGATTGAGGTCCATCATTTTTATAGGCTGGTACAGAGGTGCCACCCTGCAATCCAACGCTAATCTGTTGCTGGACTTTTGGGTCAAATTGCAAAATGGTCTAAGTGCAGGACACTGTGAAATAATGTAAAAGCAACCGAAAGCACTATAAAAGTGAATAAATCAGGATGAACTGTGGTGCAGAGACTGAATTGCGAGTCAACCTCCCAAAAAACTTGATCATTGAATTGCGTGAATGACAACATCTGCAAAAGGTTGACCATCTGTTTATGTGTAAAGAAATTGTCATTCAATTAACTCAAACCTCCATATAAGTAAAATACCTCCCACCTCAACCTATGTGAAATTTTTTTTTAAAGTCCTAGACTGAGTTCCTTCATAGAAACACCTGCTTTGAAAAAACTCCCTAAACTCAGAAAGGCTTTCCCCTCAAACCTTCATCATGAAATTTTCTGTATGTCCATTGGATGTTATTTTATCAACTCAGGAAAGAGAACAGCAGAAAAATTTTGATCTGATGCATTTCCAAAGGAATTAAAAGATTTAAAAACTTTCCCCAAAGTCATTTTTCACCAATTTTAAAAAGCGGGTGTCAAAAACTCAAAAATTTTAAAAACCTGCAGCAGTTTAAATAATAGTTCTTCTTCCTGGAATACGCCAACTCTGTTTTTACAATCCGTGCCGCACAAGAAAAAGAACAAAGAACACATATCAAGCATCTTTTCCCAGAATATTCTATTTTTTTTAACTGAAGGAAAATATATGAATACTCCTTAATTGTCTTGCTGAACCGTTGGAAAACATTCCGCGATCTATAAATTTACTCTCTTTTTTGTGTCTGCCTCTTTTCCGTCTAATAAATGCGAAGTTGTAGATCATATCGAGGACTTCTGATTTAAACTTCATGGATTGACAGAGGAGACCAGTAAAAAAGAATCTCCTCTATATACAATGAAGATTAAATCTAAAACCTCTTCAAGGATGAGTGGAAGTTTCCATTGCCGCTGAAAAAAAGTAACATGAAGCTGTGAAACAAGCAGCAGTTCATGACCTGAACATCGTTCTCCATTTAATTCTTGTGATCATTGAATGTGGTTCCAACTTTGCTGAGTATAGTCTGGTAGATCTCCAAGTTTTTTTTTACCTATTTGAGTAACATGGAGTGTATCAAGTGTGTACTTCAATGTGTTTCAATACAGTACTTATAGTGAAACCCTGGATTACGGACACCACGATGCTTACAAAACATTTGACTTGAGGACACTTCAAACTTTTTAAAATCTGACCGAACATCCAGACAATGTCTCAACATGTGGGAATTGTGCATAACAATTTTTCCAAGATATATAGAAAAATGAATTTTTAAAATTTGGATATCTCTTTACAAAATTGATCAGCTATTTATATTCACAAAAGTTTAATACAATTTTTTACAAATTCATTAAAATTTATAATAAAAAAGAGCTTAATTTTGAATTTATTTTTATCTTTGAAATATTCTCCATTATGTGCAAAGTGTAGAAAGACATGAGCCATTTATTTGCTTTTTGGGGTCAGCCTTTTGATGCCAAAGGATCAGATTCTGGTTTTCTTACACAAAGGTATCTTCTGTATCTTTAAATCAGTTGAGAAAAAAATTTTACTACATTTTTGAGGGATTCATTCCTAATTTTGATGAACTGTAGAAGCAAATAAATAAGTTCCCAATTTATGAAGTCAGTAGGAAAGCATGAAAAAATATACAATTTTTTTACAAATGATCAACTTGTTACAGTCAGAACCTTAAAAATTTGCAAAAAATATTTATTCATTTATCGTGACAAGATAAATATATACCCCCTGCAGACTTGTTTGATAACAGTAACTTAAATTTGAACTAGTAGTTTGCAAAAAGAAGATTTTATCAACGTATAAAACTTCCTGTTCACAGAGTTAAGTAGGAGTAAAAATAAAAATTTGTGGCAGCTCAAATCCATGCACCGGATACGTGTCCATTAAAAGCGAAGCACCAATGAACTAAGCTCCTTTTTTATTTATTTTTACTCACGACAGAAACTCGGCAAAACCAGTTTATCATAATTTCAAGAGGAATTTTCATAAATCGCAAAAATGGGAATCGTAATTCCACTGATATTCGCTGTAGCGATGATTTACGTGCTGTACAAAGGCATTCCGGGAATTCGGCGCGCCAAAAATTATCCCCCAGGTTAGTTCACGTAAAAAATAATAATAACCGGAAATTATTATATGTATCCTTGAGTTCTCCTTCGGTTTATATATACATACATATACATAGGGCCTATGAGACTTCCTGTGATTGGATCATTGTGGGTCCTCAACACGAAGGAGTGTTTATCCACGCAATTGCTCAGACTAAGATGGCGATACGGCAAAATTTTCAGGTTTGTCAAAATTTTGAGTTGTGGGTTTCTTTATTTTTTTTTATATATAATTTAATGTGACCAGTTTCAAGTTTGGACAAGTGGAAAGTGTGGTGGTGGCTGATCCGAAAGTGCTGAAGCAGTTATTTGCCACAGCGGAATGTTCCGGACGGTTTCCGTGGTTTTACTTGAAATTGACGTATTATTTCGAAAATATCGGTGAGTTCAAGGATACTTATGATACTGTATTATTTCCGTCCTTTGAATGCCTGTATTTATAGAACATTTATGCTGATTTTAGAAAAAATTGATGCTAAAATGCTGCAAAGGAATAATTTTTTTAAACGTTCCATCACCGTAATTCATTATTTTGTAATTTTTAATTTTGCCGCTCCATTCTTTATAGTCGAATATTACTTGAAATTCAGTGTAAAAATAGTTCAATAATAATTATTTTTAAAAATTCGTATGACCTCGTTGTATAGATATATTCAACTGTATTTTGCTTTAATTTTGCCGCTCCATTCTTTATAGTCGAATATTACTTGAAATTCAGTGTAAAAATAGTTCAATAATAATTATTTTTAAAAATTCGTATGACCTCGTTGTATAGATATATTCAACTGTATTTTGCTAACTCACATCATTTGCGAAGCTTTTTTAAAATATATTATTTGTCTGAAAGCTCACTTTTTAGTTTTGAGCCATATTATATATATTACAGCAAATTTACCGCGAATTTTAAATGCAGCCTGTTCTTTTCGCGTCAAACTTTTATTTAAAAAATTGAAAATTAAAATGAATGTGATGATGATGATGATGATGATTATGAAAGAGGAATTGAAATGCTTTCAACATATTTGATTTTAGGACTGCTTTTCTCAGAGGGTGAAGTGTGGCGAGAACAAAGAAGATTCTGTTTGAAGTCGTTGAAAGATTTAGGATATGGAAAGAATTCCATGGAGTCATCAATCATGGTCGAAATGGAAGAATTGAGGAAAACTTTGAAACCTGCAAATGTGAAATCTGGAGATAGTTTCAGACTCGAACTTGATGAACGATTCGTGGCAGCTGTGCTGAATTCCTTGTGGATGATCGTGGCTGGTTGGTAAAAAGTTTCCAAAAAAATCCAAAAATTTATATTTAAAAAAATGTGTTTGGTTCAAAGCCCGCCGTTTCATTCTTTTCAAGGACACCGGATTGATTTGAACGATCCTCATTTCCAAAAGATTTTTGAATCTGTGCAAGTTAAAGTCACACGCACTGTCTTGGCTTCCATGTTTCCAAATTTAATTCCATTTCTGCCGGCGAAATTTATTGGAATGCAAAAAGTTTGCGAAGGAAGAGACCTCACTCACAAATGGATGCAGGCAAGTTTTATTCATTTTTTAATGATACTGGACAGTTTTTGTAAAAAAAAAATTCTATGATTATGGCATGCCAAAATCTATTTTCCGATCCTGCAAAAAAGTACAACGGAAATCTTGCTCAAATTCCGAAGGACCTTTGAAAAGTATGAATAAAAACATTGCATTACATCGAGATTACTTTCAAAGTCAATAAAAGTTTGTGAAAGGAGAGACCTAACTCTCAAATGTATGTTGAAAAGTTTTCTTTTGTTATTTTTTGTTTTTTCAACTACTGTATAAGTCACTATAAAGTTTTTAAAATTAATAAATGACATGTCAAAATCTACTTGACTGTCCTTCAATTAAAGTAAAATGTTGTTACAACTTCGAGGGACCCTAAAAATCAATGAAAATATTTACACTATTTGCCAAGATAACATTCAAATAATCAAGATTTACTACACTGAATTTTTGCTAAAACAACTTCCAGCTGGAACCCATCAAAAATGTTTCAAATTTGTTGGTGACTTATTTGCAACATCAGTGACTTATTTGTTCATAAAAATTTTTTTTTGCCATGATGAGCTTTGAAGTTTTACAAACATTGCTAAAAGCAATCACGCGAATTAATGTGTTGGTATTGAAACTGCGTGTTGAAAGTCTTACACCAAACAACCGAAATTTATTTTAATTTTTTTCAGGCTTTCATCGACTATCACAAGGAAACACTTGACCCAAGCTGTCCCAGGGATTTCCTGGATATGTTTCTGATCGAGCAGAATAAACTGGAATCCGCTGGAAGAAAAGATCACACTTTCACCAGTGAAGTTTTAAAAATATCTCATTTATCATTCACAAGAAATCCTGGAATAATTTTCAATTTTTTTTTCTACGCATAGATCTGAACTTGGTGACAGTTTTGTCTGACCTTTTTGCTGCTGGGTCAGAGACAACAGCAACTACTTTCCGGTGGTTCTTTTTATACATGGTTCAATACCCGGAAGTGCAGCAAAAAATTCATCAGGAAATTGATGACGTCATTGGTCGCAG